AACCGAGGTAGAGACAAGTTCTTTACTTGTTGTAACCAAAACAACTAACACAAAGTCCAGGATCACAATCAGGTCGATAAGACAGTCCAGGGTCGGCACTGGTAAACAGGTATAGCCAGGGGATCCAAACTCGAGGTCAAGGGGGACAAAATCAGAAGGTCGGTACACTGCAGGCGATCAGAATCTGGGAGGGCATAGGCAAAACACGGTGGTCAAAAAACAGTAATCCAAGGTCAGAAACAGAGAGTCAGGCAAGGTATAAATGCTGGAGAGTCAGAGCTGGGGTCTAGAACAATCTGGCAGCATCCTGGTGGGAGGACGCTGCCTAAATAGAAGTAAAAACAGGTGCAAACAATAAGGAGCAGGTGAACTAATGATGATTAAGTAAAAGGGCCAAAACTGAGGTGAAACAAAACAGGAAGTAATTTGAAAATAAAAGCGTGACAGGAAGCAAGAGGGGCAGGAGCGTGACAAGAAGTGTCAAACCCTCACATTTCAGATGCTGAAATAAGAGGATTTAAAAATTTCTGCTTGAAAAGCGACAATAATTGAATATCAAAATGGATTTTCTGTCAAATCAATTAATTAGAGTCAGTCATACAAACATTTACATGTGTTGATTTATTGTTGAATTTTACATGTGAAATTTCTTGCATCAAACTGAATCAATCATGAAAGAGTCTGGTGAAGACAGAGTTTCTGCTGTTTTAAATCTAATCTCTGTGGGAACGAGGGGTGATGGAGGAAGGAGTCTAATTATTTTCTTCATTTTCCCGCCCTGAAAAGAGAGCGAGCAGGTCAGACAAGTGCAGGTGTGGGTGAGCGAGCAAGCGTCTGCATCACAAGAAAGAGAGAGTGTTGAAAGCTTTGACAGTGAAGCATGAAAGTGTGTCTGTGTGTGCATGAGAACAAGAGAGAGTGAGATGGTGAGGGGAGCGGGCGAGTGAGCAAATAAAAAAAAGGGGAACCTTGAAACCGTCTTGATTCCCTCCTCCATTATTCTCTCTCCCATACAAACACATACTCGCTCATCCTTCAGTGCCCCTATCTGCACCTCTCTCTCTCCCACACACATGCAGACACATCCACGTTCACCCTTGTGCATTCCTCCGAACGTTTTTTCTTTTCTTTGTTTGTTCATTTCATGCTGCCTACTCCTCCCCGAAGATTGACCCCTCTGACCTCTGGCCTTCTTGTTGACGTGTAAACACTGAACAACCTCCCTCTGTCTTTTCTCCCTCGCTCTCCGTCTCGTTGAAACATGAGAGCTGAGAGAGGCAGCAATTAGTCTGCCAGCGAGGCGAGAGTGTGAACGTGATGGAGGAGTTTTATTAGACGCAGCCTCTGGCTTCAAAATCAACAACACACTCAAACTTTCATTTCAAAATGTCACCTTCTGTCATTTAGACTGAAACATGTGGAAGTGTTTTGGGGCCCCGATCCGAGCCCTTTACCACTGGGTATGAAACATGTAAGTGTGCTGGTATGATGTCATGAGACTCGCACCTGAGCTAATACAGATGTTGGCTGACCTCCATCTGCACATTCGTGATGTTTTAAAACCAGAGATTCCCAGTTGATTTGCACAAGTGAACCACACCTGCAGATCTTAGCTCTCATGTGGAGACTGACAGCCGCTGTCTAACTTCCACACATCCTGACTAGCTCTAAATTCAAAAGATGATCCTTTTGTATCAGAACTCACATTTCGGAAACAGTGCACAAGACGGAAGATGACCTCTGTGAGATAAAGCACCCTGCACATCTGCAGGTTCTGATTTGCTCCTAGGTGTCCAAAGAGACTGAGACGCGTGGACTCCCATTCGTTCTGACTTCCTGTCACTAGAATGCCTAATCTGTCGATCTTTGGTGCCCAACTTGAACTTCCACAGACTCAACTCCACATTTACAGGTTGCAGAGTTTCCATTCCACTTTCTGAGGATGCTGATCTCTGCATGTACAACACAGACTTCCACAGATACTGACCTTACAAATGATGCACAATATGGCGGCTTATTCCTGGGATTCACAGTGGCAACTTACATCATAATTTTTGGGCTACATTCTGAATTCTGTCCTGACCACAGACTGTAATTAAAGATGGACAATGCGTCACCACTTCCCTACATTTAGGAAAGGTAAAATTCCCAAAATTGCGCCGCCTGCCACTCTGGCATTCTGCACAGTAGTGATGAGTAGCTGAGTGACGTATCAGGCAGCCAATCAAAACTGTCAAACCATCTAAAATACACTCCTTTTATATCCTCATATAATTTACTAAAAACAACCTCACAAGATAAAGACCACTTGGACACACATTAATGTGATAATAAAGTGACCTGTTGCTGACCACCAGTGGAAGACGTGCTGGGGGGTTTATGAAGGCTACTCTCCATTAGTAGGAGCACATATGGTAGGAGAGCAGCACTGACTTAAATTCAGTCTTTTTTGCTGTTACAGAGGAGCAGATTTGTTCCTTGCAATCAGACTCTGGCAGGTCCCATCCTGCATTCACAGTTTGCATTCTACCACAAAGCCTGACTTGCTCCATGAGATACACTGATCTTGAAGCAGGTGTGACCGTTGGATTTTCAGAAAGCTACAAACATTCCCAGCTGGTCCTCCTCAGCTGGATGCTGCTTGAATGATACTGAAATCCTAAACACAGCACACGGTTCTGAGTAATTTGCTGAATAAACCGCTTTGTACAAACTCGTAGGGATCCTGACTCACATTCACCTTCGTTCGCCCTGCACCCTGACAAGTAGTGACATGCACTGCAGATTCCCAACTTGTATTCAAACTTCTGTAAGCCAGATAACAGAAATGGAAGTGAGTGTTGGAGTTTCGGTGTGGTACAAAATGCCACTGTGGAGAGAGGCTGTCCAACAAGCACTCTCGCTGAAGAACACAGCCCACAACACTCGGCGGGTCGACTCATATTCAGGCGTCTGCAGTTTCACACAGAGACTGTGCAGACTCGGACACACTCACACTCGCCTCTCCAGCACTGTGTATACAGACAGGCTATTCATCTTTCCCCTCAGCAACATCAATAAATGATGGCTGCTCTCCCTCTCTCTGTTTAAATATTCATCGCCAGCGCTGCTCGTCTCGCTCGCTAAACAGCCAGACGTCCCACACACACACACGCACACACACACACACTCCATTAGCAATTCAATCCGTAGTCTTCGGCATCGACACTGGGCAGCTACACACACAAAACAGTTACACACTTATTATACGCACACAATTACTGAAAAACACACAAACACACACACAAGCTGCTTTGTGTGCGTTTCCTGTCGGGGGTGGCGACGGCGATGAAACCCAGCACTGCTGGATGTGTCGTTTGTCACTGCTTTAAAGAACAGCCTGTCATCACAGGAAATCACTGGCTATCACTTTCGCCCCCGTCCAGTTAGCCTAGCTTAGCACAAAGACTGGAATCAAGGGGAAACTGTTAGCCCACCTCCATCAAAGGAGAAAAGACCTTCCTAACACCAAAGCTGCGCTGCGAGCAGCCTGCTAACAGACGACTCTTCCCTGTCTGTCACTTGTTACTGCTGCTTAAACCGCAGCACACGTTAACGTTTATTTTTAGTACATGTTCATATTCTCAGTCAGTGTATTTCTCCTCTGAGTCTGAACTCTGGCAGGGATGCTGAAATGAAAACCCTCCCCCGGCGCTCCAATCAGTGGGATTTAATTTCCCGTCAGGCTGAAATGAAATATTGCTGCGTTTCACTGCGCCGCCTTTAATTACAGACACACACACACACACACAGAGAGAGAGAGAGAGAGAAAGAGAGAGAGGGGTTAGGCTGTGCATAAAATGCAAATGAGCATCCAATTACAAACCTAAACTACTGCACATAAACACACTGTATGTGTTCCTGCCTTTAGACACACTCCGCTAGTCAGCAGTGGAAGAAGTACTACCACAGTGTAGAAATACTGTAGTACAACGTACAAACACATTGGCATCAAAATCCAAAGCCCTGCATTCAGACCTGGACTTGCTTGCTATTCTCTCTGTATATGGTCACTGTGTTGAATATTCCTTCAAAGGCTGAAATACTGCGTGAAATTCCAAATGCTTCAATTAGAGTATTGATCAACAGGCCTACTACACCCCGTGTTGTGTTGTAGTACAGCGTACATTCAGCTCATACTGCAGTTCTACTCTAGCCTTAATGTATTCTCATTTGACCACCCACATGTATGGGACAAGTAGAAAAATAAAAATATAACTGGTATATCATGAAATATTTGTCTACAGTAAGAACATGTAAGATGCAACAAAATCCATAGTTATTAATACATTTTAAGGGAATGTAAAATGTTCCAGTTGAGTGGCTGAAACTGACCTTTGTGTTACTTCAAGTTAAATTTTTTTCTTGCTTCAATTTATGTCAAAAAGTTGTAATCTTCATTCATATCAAAGAATAAACAGTAGGTTGGTGTTTTACAGTGTAATTTATCGACCGAGCCTTTTTCCCTGAAAAACGAACAAAGGGTGTTACAGTAAAATACATGGAACCGGTCTGGATGCAGGGAGGAAGCTTGGGACTCACTGAACACAAACAAACCAGTTTGTTTCATAAAACAAGTGAAATAAACATCAGGGACTGAGCACAGCAAACTCACCTAGCATCAGGACAGAGCTCATCCTTGTACAGATGTTCAGAAGAGCATTTCAGTTTCCATCAGTGTCACAGTGTGGTTCCTTCATCACACAGCGTTTCCTCCCTTTATGTTATTTCAGGTAGCGTCCCCTTGGTGATTACAGACAAGGTTACGGCTCGTGGGAGAAAAAGCATTCTGTAACCATACAATTCAATGATTATACATTTGAGAATGTACTATACGCACAAACAGTTGGCTGCTGTAAAGAAAATACCACCAAAGCTAACCAGCCAGCTATGACTTTAGAGCGCTGACACTGTGTAAGGAGAACCGGTCAGTAGCGTTTTAATGCTAACACGTATAAAATGTCTACTACCCATAATATCCAGTTAGCTGTAAACATCTGTGATGCTAACAAGTGTAAAGTAAACTACCACTTTTGCTCCAGTACCAAAAGCTACAAGTAAACATCTAGGAAACTGTATTCATGCTCACAAAAGTAGTGCTAACATTTTTAACCAGTTAGCTAACAAATACGAGCATAGGCTTCTTACAGTGCTAATCAGTTAGCTACAGCCCCCTCTAATGCTAAAGGTGCCCCTTTTAATTCAGATAGCGTAGTCTTCCATTTATCCTCCTCCTTCATATTTATTGGACAATAAATAGTTGGGTGATGAAAGCCAACAGAATGCTTAATACAAAATCACACATAAAAGTAACAGAGTCTCCCACACTGGAACTGACGATCTCAGCACGTAACACAAACTGTATGGCATTTACACCAAACTGCATTTACAGAGGACAGTGGTATCAGCACTCATAAATAAAAAAGACACATTTACAGTATACATAAAACATACACGATACTGTTACAGTCTCTCCACAGAGGATGTCCAAACTTGACGTTTGCCAAATTACACTATTTACACATAGGTTTCAGTTTTTTGTAAACTTATTAATGTTCTTTATGGAACACTGCTGAAGAATGTCTGTCAGTCTCAAAGCAGCTCAGTTTGACTCTTTAACTTGTGACTTCTTATTTCCCTGGTTGGGTCGTGTAGTGTCATGACCTGGTTTTAACCCGTGCAGCCTTCCCGACAACCTTCCCGTGCTCTTTCTTCAAATCTTTCCGGATGCCTCCTCCACCAACTTTCATCCCCAAGTCCCTGATGTGGACTCTGACATTGCCCAAGCTCCTCTGCCAGGTAGCATCCATCTTTGTGGTCTTACCTCCTTGCGTATCACAGGACTTAGCTTCTCTTTTGTATGCTGTGTTGTTGCCACCCAGTCTCTTTGTTCCCTGGTGTTCCCACGTGTTAGCATCCACCCTAGCATCTGGCTTTGCAGGGCTGGTTATTGTAGTGTTCTTACTTCGCAGTCGTTGTGGTTCCCACATGCTACCATCAACCAAAGAACCTGGACTGGTACAATCGCCACCAGCCTTAATCCCTTGATTTTGTCGTTTCCATGTATTAGCATCCACTGCACCATTTGAATTCCCAGGACTAGCATTCCCATTGTTCTTATTCCGTAGTCGCTGTGGTTCTGAATTTACAGCGTTCCTGCTTCGAAGTCGTTGGGGTTCCCACATACTGGCATTGAGTGCCACGCTGGACTTCATTGCAGTGATCCCCATGGTTTTACTTTTTTGCTGGTGTTGCTCCCACATGCTGGAGTTAGACCCTGGAGTGGTACGACTAGCAATTCCAGAATTCTTACTTTGTCTTTGTGGTTCACATATGCTGGAGTCTTTGTTAGAGTCTGGGTTACCACATTGTCGTTGTTGTTCCCACATGATAGGGTCCAGTTTAGAAGAATTAGCATTAGTGTTCTTACTCTGTTGCCTTTCTGGTTCACAAGTGCTGGGGTCCATCTTAGACTCTGGATTAGCCATCCCAGTAACCTTACTACATTGCCGTTGTGATTCCCACATGCTAACATTCATTGTCACACTGGGTTTTGCTGGAGAAGGGACCCCAGCATTTTTACTTCCTTGCTGTTGTCGTTCCCACATACTAGTATCAAATGTAGCTTCCATTTTACCTGTCAGAGTAGAATATCCAGGAATTTTAAGTCCTTGGCATTGTCCAAACCCTGCAGTCCTGTTTTGCAACCCATTGTCCACTTTAGTACCAGCTTCTGTTGCCCCCTGCCGCTGTGCTGGTAATAATGGTGGAATATGTTGTGGTGGGCTCGGTGATGATGGTGGGGATGGTGTTGGAGGTGGGGAAGCTTCCAGTGAGTCCCAACGACTGTCCACAAACTCCAGAGAAGAGCCGAGCATGCCAGCCAGCTCGGGGGTGGCCTCCACCAACTCCAGAGGGTCCTTGATGTCTGGCCTGACAGAGGCCAGCTCCTGCTCATCAGGACCTGTCAAGAGCTGCGACAGGAACACCTGCCGGTAGAACTCATCTTCAGGGATGGACTGGACATTGAGCTGTGGGAAGAGGCGCCTGAAAGACCGAGATGTCATTCGAAGGCGACCGAGAACATCAGCAAGGAGGAGCCAGTTCCTGGGACTGAAAGAGAAAGAGAGAGAGAGAGAGAGAGAGAGAGAGGGAAAGGGGGGGGGTTAATGACCTGAGAGCATTTTAGCTCCTCCTCTGTGTCCTAGTGTCTCTCTAAAGGCTGATTCTGGTATTTGTTTGACTCCATGTATTTAAACTGGACTTTTTAAGGCAAGAATATCAAAATAAATAAAGAAATTACTGGTCTCCAACATAAATGTATTCCTCACATGTCCCAAGGAAGAAACCAGATTATGGTGATGACACCACATACACTGGTGCTGCTGGTCTCTGGATGGGGTTTGTGCAGAATAACAGCATATTAAAAAAATTTAAATTCACAGGCTGCATCCTTTAAAGCCAGTTGCTACTGGAATATTAAAAACACCCCATGAAATGGTTGTGAGTGTCAGCGCCTGGTGTCCAGGCAGAGCCATTAATACTACATCAGACATAAAAAAGAAAAAGAGAAGAAGAGAGGAGAAGAAGAGCGACGGGGAGGAAGGCGAAGTGGAAGCCAATTAGCCATGTCGCCACGGTGATGCAATCCTCATTAACGACCTCTCCGTCTGTCCTGACTCCCCCCCCCCCCACA